AAGCTGCCTACAGATTTATCATTAAAATAATCGACAATTAGTCGATTAATCATTCTAATAGTCATTAGATTTTTAATCATTGATAATTTGAAGCCCTAGTTTGCTCATAGAAAATATAGCATGCACTGCAGCTGAGACCACAACCCAACTACATAGAATGAAGAAACTTACCCTCTTTACAAAGAAGTTGAAGTTGATTTATTAGCTGCTGTGTCTCGTTCAACAGATTTCTGTTCTTTATTATTAGCTCATCTCTTTCTACTGTGAGACTGGTAATGTTAGTTAGTAGCTGGTCTCTGTCTTCTGTGAGGCTGTTAATCTTGGTTTGTAGCTCATCTCTGTCTTCTGTGAAGTTGGTAATGTTAGTTAGTAGCTGATCTCTCTCTTGTGTGCAGTTTGTGTTGTTTGTATGGATGTGGACACACAGTACTATGACTGCAGTCAGCAGAAGAACACACAGCAGAACCAAACACACTGCAGCTGCTCTGGAGCTCCTGTTCTTCACTGAATCACTTCCTGAAGATGACAGATATTAAGATAAATGTTTCTTAACTTCTACAGACAATACTGAATGTGTGTTTGTACCTGTGTGTTGAGGTGTTTGGTTTCTCTTATTACGCCTGTCCTTATGTGTCCCATCAGTGATTACATTGGCATAAACAGGCTCAGACATTATCATAGGTTTGACCTAAGTAATGTAAATGGTGGAAGCTGTCTGTACGTGTTTCTACTCTGCCGTTCTCTGGTTTTGAGACACAAGTTTTAGTTGGTGTGGCCAATGTGGGGCAAAAACTTTCAAAGTACAAGAGCATGTGACATCCTGTTGATTCATACCACTTAATAAGAATAATAAAAAAAGTATTGATAAATGGCACTGTTGTGGTGACCATGTGGTTAGATGTAGCTGCCCCCCTTCAAATTAGGACATGAGGGGAAGAGAGTCACCTGTCTTAATTCAGTGAACTTAAAATTCATCAGAAATTCTTAATTAATAGTGCTCAACATCTATATTCTTGATTGCTTGTTTTATATCGGCCTCTATGCTTCGTTTAGATGCTATTTTCAGAGTCACTGAGAACTGCAGAACGGAAGTGTTTTGAGGTCAACGTGTAAAGTCCCAAATCGTGTGAGGTGCTTTATGGACATAATAAGTTTCACACTGAAGGAGTCTTTCAATGTGTACAATCAGACCTTTCAGTGAAAATGAGTAAAGCACCTCATCTTTGGTAGATGCACTAGATGTATTTTTCAGTGAATCAGTTGATTCAGTTCATAAAACTGA